TAGTTGAGAATTATCACAGGCTCATCTTCTTGCTCTTCAAGAGCTTGATTGTACCTTTCACTGTATATCCCTAATCTCTCATGGGGGTGGGTGGGCAGGGTGTGGGCATCTTGGGACTCACTCTGACACTTGTCAAGATTTTAGTTCTCCATATACATGCTTGAAGCACAAGTAACTTAACTGCTCTTTTATTAAAGTATGATTAAAAGTGCCAATAATACATTTTAAGCATAAGCAACATAATGGATCAATTTGATCACAACTTAACATGCATTTGAGCCGCATCTGCCAGGTCTGTGCCTATGATTTCTGAAGTGACAAAGGACCCTACTCTTGTCCAGGTTGCACATTATACAGCAACAATTCCAATTTGTTATGTTACACATAATGGGAATATAGAGGAGGCTGGGATAATATGACACCAGGTGTGTGTGTGTGTGTGTGTGTGTGTGTTTAAGCCTTTTATTTGCATATCCCCACCATTCAGGAATATGTTGCCCTGCCCATGGAGGATCCATTAGGCTAGAATGCTGAGTTAAGGTGGGGAGGGACCTGGGGACAGAAGGACGTGGAACAGAAAATGCTAAGGGTTGTCCATTAAAAACCAGCAGAGTTTTGAGAAAGCAAAGGAATTTACTTGCAGGGTTCCCTTAGACTGATTGGCCATTGTGAGAAAAGGATGCTGGACTCTTCTTAAGTTCTTCTTCTATTGGCACCAAGTAATGATGTACAAAATCAAGGCTGTGGAACCTTTGGCCCACGAAGGGCTGAAGATAAATCAAGAGAGGCAGGAAAGTTTGCAGCCTTTCAGGATTTCATTGCTTTTTCTAAACCTCTCTGCCATCCCATCTCTCTCTTCCTTTCTACGCCACACCATGTCTGTGGGCTGTAGGTTCCCTACCCCAGTACTAATTGAAAGCACTCGGAGAAACAAGCTCAATATTGTTCTATTGCATTCCAACCAAGAATCCATCCCTTGGGTTAAATGGAGATAAGGGTAACTGTGTTATAAACGAAGTTTACTTCCTTATAGACATTGCTTCAAACCAGGGATTGAGTCAGAGGTCAGCATCGTGGAGACCTGCCAAGGCTCATCAAGCCCCAGTAGGGGGCCTGATTCCAATCCCTGGAGACTCCTGGCTCTGGTGATGTTCCTCATCTTCCTGTTGCTGCCTGTTCACCTGTCTTCGCCAAGCAAGCAGAGAAAAGAATGAGAAGCAGCAGTGACCACAGCACAACTTAACATCTCCCTTTCTCTTTCTCTGGAGGTTGGTGAGGATTTGACCCGAGGTGGGGAGATGGAAGCAAATGGATATAGCAACAGTGGTGAGGCGAAGGAGATGGGTACAGCGTGAGTGGAGGATCAGCTATCTTGCCCAAGGGCCCCCTGGAACTGGCACTACTTCACACAGATACATAGGAATAAATATTGTTTAAAAGGTTAAAGGAATCAGTACTTGTAGCAAAGTACTGTACTGCCTGTACTACATGTGAAAAGGATCATGGGGTCTTAGTAAGTAGAACATAAGCTTAACATGAGCCAACAGTGTGATGCAGCACCAGCAGGCAGGCAGCACACGCACACAAAAGTCGCTAATGCTATTCTAGTTTGTATCAAGCAGAAATACTGTATAGTGTTCAGCTGAAGGGAAGTCATAGTCCTGTCTTATTCTGCCTTGGCCAGACTGCACTATGTCCAGTTCTGGGTGCTACAATTTAAGGAGGATATTGACAAACTGGATTATGTGCAGAGGAGGGTGACCAAGATGATCAAGGTTTTCTCCTGCTCCGGAGGCAAGAACGTGAACAGTGGCTTCAAGTTACAAGAAAGGAGATTCCAACTAAACATCAGAAAGAACTTTCTGACAGTAAGAGCTGTTTGACAGTGGAACAGACTCCCATGAGACCTTGGAGGTTTTCAAGCAGAGGCTGAAAAGCTATCTGTCACTTATGATCTAGTTGAGATTACTGCATTGCAGGAGGGTGGCCTAGATGACCCTTGGATCCCCTCCAACACTACAATTCTAATGACTCACAATTTTAGTATAGCTCTTATTCCACTCCCCACAGTGTATGAATGACCCTCCTACCCCTCCAGGTAATTTGTGCTGTCAGGTTTAATAGGACCAATTACCTGCTCAGAACTCTGCAAATGCAGTCCCTGATCTAACAACAGGTAGTAAATGTTTTCTGAATGCACATGCAGATCCTCTTCCAGCAAGGGAATCTATGAGTGGAAGCTTGCACAATTCTCCCTTGTTCAATTAAGAATTATTATATATGGCAGAAAACTGGGAATACTAATCCCTCTTTAATAATGAAAGTATTACTTCTTCAATCTTGCATTTAAAAAAATGAAATGCCACAGGCTTGTGACACATTATGCATTACACAAATCTCTCATGTGCCACTGTATCCTGTTCCCATCCCCACATCTGTTTTTAAAATGTGTACTCTGGTGTCCATAGTCATATTTAAAGGCAGCTCATACTGAAAGATTAGTTGCAAAATATTTACATGTAAAGCCTTTTCATTTTCACTTTCAGAATTATAATTCCTGTTTTATAAGGCTGCTGAAAAATGTGCAGTGTGATCATATATGATACCCATGTCAGAAGTGAATCCCACTGGGATTTATCCAAAGGGTATAGGATCACAGGCTTAGACATGACTGTATTACCAATACAATGAAATAGATAAGTTATACCATCAAGAAACATTATCACTGAATACTGTTATTACACCAGTGCAAGCAGATACAGTTACCCAGTTTTGTGGGTAAATACCGGTACTAACAGAGCTTCGTGCAAACAAGCAAGCTCCCAGACAGATCATGGCTTGTATTTTGACTGGAATAAGATGAATCACAGGCCTGGGTTGGGCATAATGCTAAAACAGTTCACAGAAGCACCACAGTAACAAGGACCAGAGGTGGAGCAAAGCGGCTGTGATCTTCTCCATAGGAACCTGCATGTTTGCTCATTAATGCTAAACCATTGAATGAAGCCTTAGATATATAATCTTTTCTTGAAATGGCTGCAGAAAATCCAGCAATGGGAAGCACAAAAAACTTGATATAAATCAATATAAATCAAAGGGTCCTCACTTTCCAGGCTACTGTTATTTTTCTTTATTTCTTACTCCTCGGCCCCCTTTCATCTATTTTGCAAAATTACTGTACTTCAAAGTCCTGTCCTGCTCTCGTTCAATCCCTCATAAGTATTAGTCTCTAGTAGGCATGATAAAATGGTAATTTGGCTTCTCTCTGCCAGGGCTTAAAAGGGGAAACGAAGTGTCATTTTTAATTATTTGGTATTTGTTCCAAAACAACTATATGAAAACACTACAATTTCTGTTGAAATACAGTCAATTATCTTTCCAAAAACATTGGCTTGTACAGAGTACTTTATCTCATTGCATGATTTACATTTAAAAACTGAACTGAAACAAAGGAATTCTTCTATAACTAGCATATTCAGGTTTCACTCAATTTGCTTTTTGAAAAAAAAATTGGTCATTTTTGTCACTGCCCTGGAATAATTGCAAAATGCTGCCTCATTAACAACTTCTTTCTGCAGTTCTTGTTATACAGCTACTAAGGGCTTCAAAACCAACATAAATAGTGCTTCTTAATTTGACATGGCACAAACAGCATTACAAATATGACTTTATTTCTTAACATCTTCTCCAAACAGTATGGCTTATGAATGTATACTAGTAAGAAAAGCCATATACGTATCACATGCAGGTCTTCACAGAAATGCATTCTATATATTTTAATTAGTAAGTGGTTTTTGTGCGTCTACTGTTGTTCTTTCACTAATTTATAATTATTTTTATTCTATTGCTTTAGATAATTTATACTTTTGATCTCTGGATCTTTTATGCCAGTCCCTCCTCCATCCATGTTCAGCAATGCAAGTGCATCACACATTACTGGGCATGTGGAAAAAGGCTGTCAAATGGAATCTCTTTAAGTGCACAGAGGTTTGCTATTGAGGGAATGGGTTGAGAGAGAAAGACAAAATCATTCCCTATGCTGCTATTACATGTCAGTCACTTTTGAGTATTTTAAACATGAGGAAGAAAATATTTATATCTGTCTAAAGCAAGATTCTTCTCTTCTAATTGTGTATTAGTCGTATTCTGCACAATCGGGATACCAGCAATCCTAAAAGAGCACAGTCTGCACTGCATTCAATGATCTGGTACTATTTCTGTTATTCTTTTAAAATTCTCATGGGCTGGATTCTATACACATCAAAGAAGTTGCAAAGTTTGCATGAGAAATCAGGTTAGCAAAAACGGAACTCCACAGCACCATCTGGTGCCACAGTGTTAGAATGCATAAACAACACATATAAAGCATTTTTTCTTTCCCAATGGAGCTGAGCCCCTGTTGAAACCTGTGACTCATTAAAGAAAAAAAAACCTTTCTGTAATTCAGAGGACATAAGACCCATATCATCCTTCTGCCTGGCCAACCTTCTAGTCTTCCTCCTTCGTTATCAAACCCTTTCATTTCCCAACAGCTTTTAGTTGGCAGAAGCTAAATCTGGCTGCTTTACAAACCCTCCCATCTCAAGGTTCCTTTTCCCCCCAACTGATTCCACAATCTAGCAAATTTTTTTGGGGGGTGCATGGGTTTATTTGCACAATTTATTCAAAAATCCCAGGCCACAACTCCAAGAGGCAGCGTGCATGTGCAAATATTAATATATATCGAGCTGCAACAGACAGAATGGAACTATGGCAAGAGTTCTGTTATGGACGTGACAACAACCTGCAGACAAATAAAATAAATAAAATATACCAGAAAGCAAAAGCTGCCAAGTTTGCTCACTGTAGCATACCTTTCGTATTTCCTCAGGTAGCGGATGCACAGGAATATGTCGGTCCATATCCTTCTATGGTTTAAATACAGATTTGCAAGACTGGCACACAAAACTGTTAAAAGGTTATAAACAGACAAAACTGGTTATAAGTTTGGAGTTGAAAATTCCCCAATATGACCTGCCCTGCGTGTGTTTTGCTTTGGCAGCTCAAATGGCAGGTGTACAATATTCCAACCCAACAGCACAATCTGACAACAGCATTTGCACATGGAAAGACATTCAAAGCAATCAGCTATAACATGGACACACAAAAATCAGGTGTTTGTGGGACCGAGTCTGACCCTCAAGAGTGCTGCTAGTGCACTGATGTGGGCAGAAGATAGAAGGTGGCTGCTGCAGGAGTTTTGAAGCATATACACTCACAATGATGGTTACCTACTACATTGATTGGGCTGAGTCCAAGGCACCAACAGATACTACCTCTCCTGTCCTACAAATCAAGAAAAAGAGGTGCTTTAGAAGATTTACTCTGAATTTTTCAGAAACACCAAGCTTTGGGATAATAGAAGGGGGAAGGAAGACTCCATCTACAGCATACTATAGCCACTCCCACCAGCTCCCCTCATGCTGTAAAACATGGACGCGGGATACTACAGTAAAAAGGGAACCAATCCTCATTTTCATAAAGCTCATTGGACTAAAAAACAGATTACCTCACCTGTGCATATTAGTCACCGGTCACAATAGAAAGGACTATGCCAGATGGAAGAACAGTGTGACTCTGCAAGGGTCCTGTGGCCCACCAGATATTGTTGGACTCCAGTTCCCATGAGCCCCTGCCAGGATGGACCATGGTCAGGGATGATGGGAGTTGTAGCCCAACATCTGGAGGGCCACCGTTTCCTCATCCTTGGTGTAAGGCAAGTTCCTATGTACTGTAAGCAGGGGAGGAAAGTATTCAGTAGTAGCAGCAGCAGCTGGTAGCTGCCTCACCTATCTCACCTCCCATCTTATAAACATGGTGTAGAGTTTAGTTTATTAAGCAAGGAGATCCAGGTTCAACTCCCCTCTCAGCCATGAAACTCATGGCCCAGTGTCTCTCTCTCTCTCTCTCTCTCAGCCTAAACTATCTCAGGGCTTATGTGATGATTAATAATAATAATAATAATAATAATAATAAAGGTGGCTTCCAACAAATTAAAACACAATACAACATCAAACATTAAAACCCTCCCTGAACAGGACTGTCTTCAGATGTCTTCTAAAAGTCAGATAGTTGTTTATTTCCTTGTCATCTGATGGCAGGGCGTTCCACAGGGAGGGCACCACTACTGAGAAGGCCCTCTGTCTAGTTCCCTGTAACTTCACTTCTCACAGTGAGGAAACCGCCAGAAGGCCCTCGGAGCTGGACCTCAGTGTCCCGGCTGGATGAGGGGGGTGGAGATGCTCCTTCAAGTACAGTAGTACCTCAGGTTAAGTACTTAATTTGTTCCAGAGGTCCCTTCTTAACCTGAAGCACCACTTTAGGTAATGGTGCCTCTTGCTGCTGCCACGCCGCGGGAGCACGATTTCTGTTCTTATCCTGAAGCAAAGTTCTTAACCTGAAGCACTATTTCTGGTTAGTGGAGTCTGTAACCTGAAGCGTATGTAACCTGAAGCGTCTGTAACCCGAGGTGTCACTTTATACAGGGCCGAAAAAAGGGGAGGGATAACTGCACACAGAGCTTCCTGAAGGAAGAGTGTGGCAAAAGTGTAACCACAAATGCACAAAAAAAAATGAATATTTTGCAAGTTACGGGTGAGAAAAAGCACTGCCCCTGCCCCAATCCACTCCCTTCTTCACATAACCATTAAAATACAAGGCCCCATGTTCGTCTCCTTTGCCTCTGGTTCCCCTAGGGAGGCGAAATTAATGAAAATAAACTTCAGCAGCCCGGCTGGAATCTGCTAAGCCAAAGCAACGGGGCTTCACTTTTGCGGCAAAAAGCAGGCCATCGTTGAGCCAAGCGCCTTGCTTGCCCCAGAGAGCGAAAGGCAGGGACCCGTGGAACTGCCTCATGCCAAGACCCACTGCGCTATCTAGGCCAGTAGTGCCGACACTGACAGGCAGCTGCTCTGCCCCAGGGTTTCAGGCGTAAGAAGTAAGCCCTCGCCGAGTAAGGCTTACTCCCCGGTAACTGAGGCGCTCACTCACCCAAGCAGGAGGTGAGCAGAGCAGCGCGGAGACGGAGGGAGGGGTAAGCCCTGCGGACACACCGGAGTAGGCCGCGCCGCTTCCTCGTTGCCCCGGCAACCAGCTTGCCCGCCAGGCAAGGAAACCAGAAGTAGGGCAGGCGCTAAGGGCGGAAGTCGCTCCTCTGCCTTCGCGTTCTTCCACCGGGCGTGCGCGGTTGTTGCCGAGCGTCCCGCGGCGTTGTCAACACGTGCCGCTTATAGCCCCGGTCCTGCGCGCGTTTGATGGGAAGCAAGCACCGCTTGAGCGCAATTTCATGGATTTAAATGTATATACCGCCCTTCATTGAAAGTTCACAGGGCTGTTTACGTACAAGATAAGACCAGAACAGTTCTAGGAACACAAGTAGAATAAGAAGGAAAAAATACAGAATAAAAAAACAGAACTGGGGGGAAACTCTTGGTAATTGCGTTTATGCTCTGAAAATCAATAAAACTTATTTAAAAAAACAAAACAAAAAATGATAATAACAACGGCATAAACATTATTCCCTCGTAAATCACAGTTACTCGTGGGAGCAAATTATGTTGGCCGCAATGAGACTGGCCTCTCAATTCCACATGGAGTTTTGGAGCGCAGCTTTTTACACGTCTGCTCAGTAACGTCCACACAGTAGCAGTTCCAATGAGAGCAACTTCTTCTCCCATTTTCCTTTCAAACTGAACCTGTTACCTTAATTCCCCATGCCCGAAAGACCTGAGAGTTTCTTCCGTCCCTCTTCCCTGATTCTTTTACATTAGCTTCTTCCTCCTACAACAGCTTTCCTCTGATGCCTTTCCTTTCTACCCTGTGTTTTGTTTATTAATAACATTAGAAATATTAAACCTTCATTTCTCTATTTTTTCCTTCAACACCTCCTCCTCTGGCCCTTTCCCCTCGGAAGGAGACATAGGAAGCTGCCTTATACAAAGTCAGAACACTGGTCCATCTAGATTGGTGCTGCCTGCTCTGACAGCAGCTCTGCAGGCTTTGCAGAGCAGGTTCTCTACCAGCTCTTCCCTTTCCCTCCTCGCCACCTGACCTTTACTCAGCATGCAAGGAGCATGCAGCTGCTGGCATTGCTCCAGACAGCAGGGAGAGCTAGGAGGCAGGGCAGGCAAGTGAAAGGACACCTGGCAGGCTGTGGCCTTGCCTGAGAACGACTCAAGGGTGACCTACTGTCGGAAAAACACAGATCCATGCAAGTTTATCTCATAGGCCTGTGCGCTGGATCCTTCGAGCCCCTAGTGACACCACTGGTCGCCACAATGCCCTTGTTGTTGAACTCTGGTGTTATGTACTGAGTTGAATAGGATCCAAATGCAGCGGTCTGATTGGTCCTAGAACAATAGGATCCAGAATGCAGCAGTCTGATTGGTCCACAGGAGCCACCCAATCCAGCTCCAGGTGGAAGTGAATCTGCAACCTGACTGGCCTACAGGAGAATTCTGGAATTAGCCAATCACGTGGGGCCCATTGTGTAAATAATGTATATAAAGCAGACATTCTGAGGGAACTTCCATTCCTCCTCGCCACTATGAGCTGAATAAAGAGCATGAAATCGACTCTGAGTATATTTCATCTGGGATGGGGGGAAATGACCAGGGTGGTTGACCCAATTGCCCCCAAGCATCCTATCCTTGTTGGTGGATAGGATGGTTTTCGAAGTTAGCTGGAGAAGATGAAACTGCGAGAGTGAACCCTAGAGCTACGATGGATGGGGGGAATGGGGAGTGAACAGGGCTGAGCACAAGGCAGATTGTACGGCAGGACCTCCTCTGTAGTGCTAATTTTAGCCAAAAATATATACAGCAAACCCACCGCTTACACATTTTTAATTTGTGTGCGTTCAGTTTTATGTGCTTGGCCAGAAAAAGAAAAAAATAATAGAAAGGGGTCTGGCACCTGGAGAAAATACTTTTGACAATCCTACCCACCACTGAGCTCAATGCATTTAACCGTATGTGATTTTGGCTTTAGGCACAAGCCCCAGAACGTAACCCCCCATGTAAGTTACGGGCTTACTGTATCATAATACCACCACCATTCTATCTTTGCAGAGCCATTCAGAGGAGCCGATTTGAGTATTTTGGAATAGATGTATATCCTATCAAGAAGCCTCTGTGATTGGAGAAGTATACTTGATGGCCCAATTTCCACCATTTCCCCCTAGTTCATTCATCCACCTGGTGGTGCCAACAGCTGACCTGGTAGCTATGAAGAAGAAGAAGAAGAAGAGTTTGGATTTGATATCCCACCTTTCACTCCCCTTCAGGAGTCTCAAAGCGGCTAACATTCTCCTTTCCCTTCCTCCCCCACAACAAACACTCTGTGAGGTGAGTGAGGCTGAGAGACTTCAAAGAAGTGTGACTGGCCCAAGGTCACCCAGCAGCTGCGTGTGGAGGAGCGGAGACGCGAACCCGGTTCCCCAGATTATGAGACTACCGCTCTTAACCACTACACCACACTGGCTCTCAACTATATAACAACTATATGGCTTCACAGCCAGAAGAGACGTGTGTGTATCCATGTAGATGGACATACATCACATCAGAAAGGCAAAAGCAGATCACATCACCCTCTTATCGGCATCTGACAAATACATTTTTTTAAAAAATTGTGCCAGGCTTTACATGTGTTTTAAGATGCTGCTGTTTATGTTGCTTTCTTTTGATTCCTCACCCTCCTCTTATCTTGTTCTGCAAAACTGTCCTGCTGCCATATAGGAATCATTAAAATAAAGAAGCGAAAGCCTTTCTCACAAAGTACTCAGCTTTCTGAGAGAAAACCTGGAAATGGAGCTCTGTTGCGGGGGGGGGGTCTCCAGAACTAGACATTGCCGTGCATTTGGTGCAATCCTGCGTATATCCGCTCAGAAGCAAGCCCCGGGGAATTCGATGGGGCTTGCTCCCAAGTACATTGCTCTGTCTGTGATCTTGTAAGCCTCCGCTCTGCAGCAGCTGTTCCAGGTCTGTTCTGCTGGTGGAGCAACACTCATTTTCCTCTTAGCCTTTTTCTAGTACAACGTAATGCCAAAGCTGCTGCCACTCAGCCGCTGTGCAACTGCTGAACTCCAGTGAACCCGAGAGCAACGGAACGGGACTTAAGCCTAATTGTAGCGTTTTGCCTCTGCTCCCATGAACTCTTGGCCTGGGCACGCTGTCATCTCTTACCGGCTTACTACCACTGCTGCACGACAGACTGCAATGTCCTTGCATGCACTCTTGTGATGCCGCAGCCCGGGCGGTGCCCCCAGCTAAAATTAGCGGCCAGCGCTTTGGACGGGCACAGCACATCCAGGCACAATGGGAAGGAAGGAAGCCAGGAAAACAGGGACCTCCTGACCATTTTAATGTTAACGGAACCTGATTTCACTAGAACTCTCTGTGAACCCTGAGCCGTCCCTTCAACCCAGGTCATTCCCCCTAAACTGGGACATCTGTTTACCCTGTACTTGACCTGCCTTTGCTCTGCCAGCCCTGGAGGAAAGCTCTTTCAGAGCAGCGTGCAAGCAAAGGGAAACAAACTAATAAGGGAGATGATCCTCAGGAGTGGGCAGGATTTCTATTAGGGCTCCATCGCAGTGGAGTTAATTCCACTCATATCTTTAGACCTTTCCCTTCATTCTCAGTGATTAGTCCTTCTAAACCTACCAAGGTCAAGCCTTTTGAGACGCCTTAGCAGGGCTTGATGTCCACATCCCAGCTGAGTTGTTTTGTTTCCAGACCGCTGCTATCTGTCTGAGGTGTTGAGATTGATTTTAAGATTGGCTCAGAGGTTTTCATTCCACCAGCTTGTTTGCAGAACAAATTGGTTGCACGGTGTGTCTACTTGTTTCAGACATGACTTGTACATCACTTGGTTACTGAGACCTTGAGGACTGGAAGCGGAACGTGTGAACTCATTTGGTGGCTCGTTTGCACAACATTTGAGATTGCAATCATGATAAAACGTGTGGGTGAACCAATGATAAAAGACCCTCATAGTCGTTTCCCATATACCAGGCATGGCCAAACTTGGCCCTCCAGCTGTTTTGGGACTACAACTCCCATCATCCCTAGCTAACAGGACCAGTGGTCAGGGATGATGGGAATTGTAGTCCCAAAACAGCTGGAGGGCCAAGTTTGGCCACCACTGCCATACACTGAGATTTGCACACTTACTCACAGCTCGTCCCCACTAACAGAAGCTACTTTGAGGGCTTTCATTAGAAGCCACAACCAACATTTCATAGCTCATGTGCTGTGAGCAGTTTTGTGCAATGATCCACTGGAAAAGCCATTTGAACCAGATTTCGAAAGAGCTGCTTCTTTTCAGCTGTTTCAGACGAGGGTTTAAAAATCTTCCAAGAAGTCTTGGCAAATGAACCTACCTGCACAGCAATGTACTGCAATCAGTCAGTTTCTTAACAAACCTCTGGGTTTTGCAGCTAGTTTCTTAAGTATCTGGAAGGGGTTTGCCTGCTGTCTAGGCCTGGTCTACGTCACAAAATGACATCCTGTCTTTGTGGGGCCTGTTAACATACTCTGCTTCTGCAGACCCAACCAAACTATGACCCTCAACCTTAGGGAAGAATAAGGAGACAAATTGAAGCCACCCACTCCTTAGTGGAATGCTCTAATGATCACGTAGGGTACTCCAAAGGAGCGGGAAGGTTTTCTGAGTGACAGATATGCTGACCCAAAATACACCTGGAGGCTGTGCTGATCCCTTTATTGATTCCTGCTAGCCCACAAGCAGACAAGGAGGTTTTGGGGAAGAGCTATAGCTGGTAGAGCGGTCGATTGAATGCAGAACCTCAACCCCAGGGGCTTAATTCTGCACACCAGGTCTCTCTGGGCCAAGCTTGCTTTCCAGGTCACAGCCCTCCTGTGTGCCCTCTTTGGAGTGCTTTTGTCTGACTGAAATATGTCCTTGAACTGTGATGGCCTCTCTTGCTTGCCTAGATGAAAGAGAGAGGTCTATGCATATAACACCTTTGACTTTTGTGTCACACCTGTGTTTGCTTGTGGTCCTGCCAACGACTGGCATGAGGTCCCTGGAAGGTTTCCCAAGAGGAGAGGCA